TTTCTAGTCCTCGTTGATTATTCTCAAATGTTAAGAGGTCTGGATACCCAAGCTTAGTTAAGGATACTTCGCACAAGTTAAATGGCTAGATTTTCATTCACGCGGAAACGAAACTCAAGTCAATTAATCTTAGGATTATCAAATCTATCCAAAGTTCTAGAGGCATCTCATCTTCTCGTTATATTGTGAGGCCCCCTACAGGTATTCTCATCCGTTGAAAATATTCATCCAAAATTGTAAAACTGAAGGATAATAGGAAACGATAATATTGCATACTTTTTTTTGGATAATCTTCCATTTTCTATTTGCTGTATTTTAAAAATAAAGAGCATTTGCTTTGACGAAAGGTACTCAACCCGATATCATTACTGTTGACAAAAATACTATTAACCATACCTATCTCCTGCTGAATGAACAAACTGAGCAAGCTCACCTCCTTCTAATCCAATCAAGTCCTAGAATGCAAAATAGTCATCCAGTTCGTAAAATGAACATGATATCATTGACATGCTGATAACATCAACTGTAAAGATACACGTACAGCATAGAAAAGAGAGATATTAAATTGCTCATTAGGGCAACTCAGCGGGATAAGTTCAATTGAAATGCCGAGATCTTGAGCATCCTGGAAAAGAACAGATAACTCTCAGCGGGCCTACTTCCACAACCAAAATGCACAACTCATCAAGCATTTAAAAACAATTGCACCTACCTTAGCTCTCTGTAATGTGGTTCTTATCAAATCAAATTTTGTAGCACCTTTGATACTTCCAAAAGGATCATCTTCGTTTGTAAACAAAAGGATCCGCTTATCAACTGTTTTTGCAGATCTGAAACAAATTGTACGTGAAAACACTAATCAAGATAGCTTTTCTCTTTTGTGTTTGTGATGGGTGGATGGGTTGATATTTCACCAATTATACTCTAGATTAGTCAGAAAATACATAGAATAACTAAATTTCAATTGTGATAGCAATGTACTACCCTTTCCGCAGCAGGGCTTGCGCTACCCATATAGCATTGTAAAGAGAATTCTCACGAGAACCTGAGACAATGCCATACTGACTTCCAATCTCTTTCATAAATACTTCTGCAAAAATATTAATAATATTATCAATAAAGAATCAGATATACCTTTATTAAAAATCCAGGGAAAATGATCTACCATCTAAAACAGTCATCTTCATTAACAATGTAAACTATGATAACATATATTTAACAGAGCAGCATCGATCTCAGATGTCTAGCAAACATGGACAATCCATAAGCAGTATCCTCTTCTCACAGCCATGCTTGCAGTACTTGGTCATTCCAGGATCAGCAAAGAAACAAGAAAGCTAAATGCTTAGTTTTTCTTTTCTCTTCTTTTTTCTTTCCTTTTTTTATCCTGGAATAACTCTTCTAAATTAAACCTCAAGGTTAGATGCTCATTATACCATTGGAAAATCAGCAATATCAAAGCATCAAGTTGTAGCTTTCAATGAACTCGTACAGATGAATCACGTTGTAGCTTTCATATATACTTTCGTTGGTAGTAGAGGTAACATAATTCTGTATAATTTATATCCTTTTCTTACATCTATCTAAATTTTAAAGTTTTATGTTCAGATTTTCCTTTCGCTACTAATTTCATTTCAACAATAACAAGGAGTACTTCCAACTCCTTCAGCTGCTAGAACTTCCATAGTTTGTTTTATGTACTTGATCGACAAAAGTACAGAAGAATCTCCTATGTCCTATCTCACTAACTACATCAACTAGTCATCCCAACGACTCAACATAAGTATCTTGTGTAGCTAGTAGTTACCCTCTAAGCTATCAATGGTTTTCAGAAGCCTTGCTGTTGGTCGATCAAGATCTTCTCGTTCAAAGACATTAAACACAAAGACACCATTTAGATCCTGCAAATTCTTTTTTTCCCTCTGGAAAGAATTAAAACAGAGAAAAAAGGTTAGGCGTCAACTTGTGCATGCCATAAATAGAAAATACTATTGGAATAAGTAGAATTACATTCAAGAACATAAGAAGCTGGTCATAGCTTCTCAATGGCCTTGGCGGCCTTGATAGGAGCAAGAAAAAGAGAGTAGTAAGTAAGAAGATTAGCAAGTGTAGCTTGTATAACTGTGCGTCTCCTCGCTATACAAATATGTGATATACCCCAATTATACAATTGTTTCTCCATATTTGCAAGAACCGGGGTCCAAAAGCTGAAAGATCGAGGGTTGCTATTTAGAGGGAGACTTGAGAAAGTAGTCGGCTAATAACCAATCTTACTACCAAAGGATGTTGCCAAATGAGAAAGCACTCCGGCTATAAAGTACATTCAAATTTATAAAGGAAGCCTAAGTAAAAATAAGTCAAGTCTTACTAAGCCAACAACATACTGTGTTAAAAAAGCATATGGAAACTTCATCATAACTTCGGTTGATGATTTGCGTCTTCAATGATTGTGAAATGCAGCTCAAAACAACTTGGAAATGGGTTTCCTGCTTTTGATCTTCCTGGAAGCAAAAAAATGTAGTATTCAGCATATGCTTGATATCAAATTAAAATAAATAAATCAGAAACCATGAAGCTCTTTCAAGCATGGAGAAAGAGACTAATAAGAGCTAGAAATGGGGGTTCAAACAATGAAGCTCGTTTTGAGAGGTCTGAATATGGACTCTCCCAAGAAACTACTATTCCATTTCTGCATACCTCAAACCCCCCGACTTACTCTATCTACCACCAATCTTCAGTTTTGTTCCTTCCTTCCATATGACAAACATACTCTCATAATATCCTATTAATATCACTAATATTTCTCAACAGATACCCAACATATTCTAAGCATAAAAACAAAGTATACTGAAGAAAAGGGGGTACTACGAGCCCTATGCCCACGCATCTAACCTGCTCGCGTGGTTCACCGGTTCCACCAACTAGAAAGAGTGAAAAAGTCGATACAGAGGTGCGCTTGAAGTGGGGGGTGTGCTGTCCCTATTAGGCTGGGCCCCACCGTGGGGGCATAAGCACCCTCTTGCTACCCATATGCGAGGCACCGTCTTAGCCTTCCCTGACCAGGATCGCTCCCACACCAGTAGCGTTCGTGATCGGCCTACTCAACTGTGTATCGATCGTAAAGGCAGGGCGGCACAGCCCCCAACCAAGGGAGTGATTACGTCCAGTATGTCCCCCCTTATTCCCGACATGCTATGGTACCCCGGGATGGGTAGGAGCGGGTCGAGTCCGTATCGCCGCGTAGAATAATCACTTAAAGGAACATCATAAACTAAACTTTGTTTTCCTTCTATTATAGTATTCTTGAGACCTCAGACCAAGTAAAAAAGTAAAAAGAACTATCAAAATCTAAAATGAAGAATATTTAACCACGGATGAGGTAATGATAAATTTTCCCCCGAAAAGTTGAGGCAGTGAGAACGACCAAGCAACAACATTCCTTATTTCTGTCTCTTTTCCAAACGTCAGCTCCCACTACCAATAAGAACTCTACTTGTAAAGCATAGTATCCAACCTTTTTGGCCTGAATACTCTCAACAGATAACGTTTACTTCAAGCTAAAGAAAATATAATAAAATCCGAAGAGCTAGTCCAGCCATTACAGTATTAAAATCAGCTCGAGGATTGAAATAACGACAAGAGGAAAATAGCAGGACCAGCAAAAAGAGTGGAAGAACTCACGGAGGCGCAAGTCGTGCTGAACATTTTAGGGGAAGCATCCACCAAGTAAACCACCAGTTCTTTTGTTGACTCCCGCTCCTGTTCACCAAATTGAGTAGAGAAAAATCGAACGGAACTAAGGAAATGGAGTGGGAAGAAGAAATACAGGTACAGAATGCATGCAGAATCACTTTTTGATATTGAACCTGAAAGAGTGGATTGTCAGGATCGTCATCGTCGTCTCTGAAAACCTCGTCTGGGTCCAAATCCATGGTGAGTTCGAGAGAGAGGAGCGCTGACGAGTTTTTTTTCCTTCTTGCTCACAGAGAGATGCTGCGTCTCTTGCAAGTTTCGCTCTTTCGGAAGTTTGGATCGCCCGTTAGGGGAAATTGGTCAAAGTCGTCTTCGTGTTTTTTTTAGTTTTTTTTCTTTTTCGCGCTAAATTATATTTCTTTTATTTCTAAAATAACTTTAAATATTAAAAAGTTTCCAAATTATAAATCGGATTGCATTGGGTTGGGTTGTTTTTTTTTTAATATTTAAAAAAAATCCTATTTATCCACGTTACATTAAGAAGCTCAAATGTCAAATATTCACAAGTCACAAGTCACGTTACTAACATAGTTTATAAACGGTAAATAGGATTGGATTGAGTTGTAACCATGTTTTCAAATTAGTGAGATTGGTCGAGTTAACTTGACCAAAAAATGTCAACCCACAGACCGATCTAAATTTTTAATTTTCAAAAAATTCAACCAAACCCAAAAAAAAAAAAGAAAAAAAATCAACCCCACCTTTGGTCGGGTTAGATAAAAAAACCTCGTTTAAAATTATGAAAAAAAAAAATTAACATTTGTTTAATGTTATTCATGCAAAAACAAGATAAATAAATCCATACAAGATGATTATGAATCGTAAATTCTGATACTCGAGACTATATCATTTGATTCACTCACCATAATACCATTAACGAGAACTCGTCTTTAGCTAACCCACATATATAACTTAAATTTACACAATTGTCCAAGTAAAACTTATCAGCTGTTTTTTACGAAAAGAGGAAACGTCTCAATATTAAATTGCTAACCAAAGACATATTCGGGATGATTTAGGTTCAAGCTTAAGAAACATTCATGTTCGGTTTCTCCTGTCTATAAGAGAATTTTCATCAATATATTCATCATATCACAAGAACACGAACAAAATATCGCTAATATAAACATAAATATTAATAACCAAGATCTTTAACTCGTATCATTAATGATTTATTCATGAATATCTATCAACAAATCAATATTTCTACACATTTGAGAGGAAAAAAGAGGAAATAGGCACTGCCATCAGACAAGGAAGAACATGTCGGCAACACACATTTCGACCAAGAAACCAAATTGTTCATAGTAATACAGATATATTATATACCAAGCGATTCATTGACATCTCAGAAACACTGAAATCCTAGGAGTATAAATATGACAAACATACTGCACACTTTAAATAATTGTATAAGGATGTCTCGGTTCTTACTTGAACTAGTGGAAATTCTGGATGCTTACAACCCATTGTCATGGATGGATCTCAAGAAGCTGCAGCAGGAGCGACGTAAGTTGGATTGAACGGAATCTGCTCAGCACACGAAAGCGTTTCGTGAGTCCCGGCCTCATCCCGACTAAGACCCATCAGGTCGAGGTAGTATAGGTAATGAGAAATGATGTTGTTCATCGGGTCGATATCACCCTTCCCACAGATGGAATCTCCATAGAGAATGTTCATGGTTGTACCAAAACCAGGAACCCTTTTGGACAAGGTGTCGTTCTTTGTGGGTTTCCAATTGCCAACAAAGACATCATGAGGTGAAGGCTGTGACTTCTTCACTGGGTTCATCCACTTCCATATTGCAGTTTGAAATGCAATGGTTGCATTCTGCTCCACATATTCAGGATGATGCAACAGATCTATCTTCAAAGCATCGCCAATCTTACCGTAATTGTAATTCCTAGGATGACAAATGACAGAACGAACTCGGTTAAATTCTTGATGATATGACAAACACTTGTTGAAGACACCATATCCATAATCCATTTCCATCAAACTTGAAATAAAATGTTCAAATAAGGTAAAGTGTGAGATCCCACGTCGGTTGGGGAGGAGAACAAAACATTCTTTATAAGAGTGTGGTAATCTCTCCCTAGAAGACGCGTTTAAAAAACCTTAAGGGAAAGCCCCAAAAGGGAAAGCCTAAAAAGAACAATATCTACTAGTGGTGGACTTGAGCTGTTACAAATGGTATCAAGCCAAGACACCAGGCGATGTGTCAACGAGAAGACTGAGCCAAAGGGAGGTAGACAGGAGGCGGTGTGCCAACAAGGA